GAACCATGATATGAGACCATGAACGTTTCTATCACGGTTTCCGAAGTGTTACACCCATAGCATTTATTGATCCCAAGGAAAGGTAAGCAGAGAAGGGAAGTCACATGAGCCTAAGGGATACCCTGCAGTACACAGAGCATTGGGGTATCCCTCCACAGGCACATGAGCCTAAGGGATACCCTGCAGTACACAGAGCATTGGGGTATCCCTCCACAGTCACATGAGCCTAAGGGATACCCTGCAGTACACAGAGCATTGGGGTATCCCTCCACAGTCACATGAGCCTAAGGGATACCCTGCAGTACACAGAGCATTGGGGTATCCATCCACAGGCACAGCATTTGTTTGATCTGAAGAATGCAGCCCAAAAATTCTAGAAGTTTGTCCATATATATGCAGCTTACTTTTGCCCTCTGTCCACGCGGCCTCAGGAATTCATATTCTGTGAACATACTACTGTAATGAGATAACTGATCAATTAAATTAATGCATTATTAATTAGTACTACTGACCCAACTCTAATGCACTATTAATTCCTACTCTAATACGCTACTTAGTCCCAGACTTGCTTCCCTGTTAAAATTAGGAGTCAAGCATAGACCAGTCTGAAGCTGGACCAGACCCCGTGTTTCTGCTACACTGTCAGAAACTCTGCTTTATTCACAAGACGCCGGTTAGCTTGCAGCACATATGAGACCTACACAGAGAAGAACATCCTCCTCACAGAGTTCTTTTGGATTTAACATCACAGAAGTCCCATCTGCCTGTGTGGAAATGTGCTCCATACCTCATCCTGGAGTACAAACCTACTTCATCTATAATATACAGTACGAAGGATGGCTGCCGGGCACAGAGCTGTTTGCACACTGAACACTCAGCAGAAGCATCCAAACAGCCATCCCAGTCGGCTGGCACGTGGCACTGGAGGTTACTAAAGGTTAGCAATAAACATCAGGTCTCTCTCCCTCTTCTGCAACAGCTCCCTACCCTGGACTTATTTTGTACCTGCACTAGAGTATCCGCACTTCCTCATGAATCAAACTCTACATCAACATAACACTCGATCCTTCACTCTGCTGAAGGTCCCATGGCCAGGCCCACAGATCAGCGCGAGACCCAGATATGCGGCATGCGCAGGACCCAGATATGCGGCATACGCGGGAGCCAAGCTGCAACGTGGCCTCGACACCAACAAAGGCTCCAGAAAACCTACTTTAGAGCTTAGATGAAGCACTTTTCCATAATAACAAATACTGTATCATCGCTACATGCAAAACAACATATCCATACATTATCTCTTCCTCTTCTCTCATTAGTGTTACTTTAAAGCACAAATCATTGCTTAAATTCAGTTATATATAAGAGGCCACTGATTCTGAACTCCACTATTAAAGATTTTTTACTTGTTTAATGTTTAAAATGTAAAAATAAGCTCATTGCCCTTCAACTAAAAGTGATATAATAAAGCAAAAATCTGTTTGATAAAATGTACCGGCTCATTGTAATAAAAATCTGTTACACCCTAAACAAGGCATCATTTGGAAGGAAAAAAAGAAAAGATCAATAAAACAGCTGTTCCCCTAAGGTTTCCCAGCACGAATCTCAGGGTAGACTTTGCACAAAATCCAGGCACTGCCCAGTGAAAATCTCGGCTTGTGTGGATTCCCAGGGGATTAGAGGGGTCAACCTGAACCAGGAAGGTCTGGGCAGGACAGCCCTAGGCAGCGAGCGTCCTTGGGATGCTGCGGCAGGCAGGATTTCATATTAAACAATATGGCCCATCAAAAAGCCTGATATTTACGTTGTTTTGTTAACACAAGCCATAGGTTGTCCAAAGCAGCCGGGGGGGGGTTCTGGCCTGACATTCCCCCGGAGGGGAGGGTTCTGGCCTAACATTCGCCCAGTGGGCCATGCACGGCTGTAGGACCCCAAAGCCCAAGCCCAGCTTGAATCCCACCTTTACTTGAAAAGTTTTAATAAGGAGAGCATTTTGATGCCAACCAATATGGTTACTATGGCTACTAATTCACACTCAAATACCATTTCCTGCCACAGAGACACCAATACACTAATGCGCAGTTGTCTTAGCTAAAGTGAACGAATTAAAACACAATTTCCTCCATCTCTCAGGCCAACACTCATTCGCCATAAAATAAACTGTTCTTTGGATAGACCTCTTGTAAAATACAGAGTCCTTAATTGAATAAGCACAGTGCTCATAATAAAGTTAGCTGAATGCGATAAAACATTTCCCATATTGATTTGAAACTTTCTCTAAAATGTTTATCCTAAAGAGTTACATAAAAGCAATTTCAAAAAGGTTGAGCAACAAAACAAAACAGCTTCGATCAGTCATTTTTCTTCACTTAAATGTCTTCACTTAAATCTCTTGACATTGCATGAAATTAGTACTCTTAAAACATTTCATCCATACACGA